TCACTGACATGTCCGGGATCCATTTCGATCAACTGTGAGCTTGAGTTCATTCAGCTCAATGAACTGTGAGCTTGAGTTCATTCAACTCTTTTTTACTAAGGGAATGCTTCAGGAGGTAGTTTCCTGGCCATACCAATACATATGACCACATACAAATAACTCAAAAGTTATCCCCATATACTAATAAAGAAGGGTCTTGCAGTCCACCAACCTTGAGAGGTTGATTGCCTTTTAGTGTAATATGCAGGTTTGCTAAAGGTCAACAGTGAGATTGAAAATTATTGGAGTGTAAAAACCTTATATCAATATGGGCAATAGACATAATTTCTCGGGTTAGGTACAAAGCGCTTATGGTGTTTGTGAATATGGTAGATCCTGTACTAAAGAATACAGCAATAAACTGCATGAACAACGGTACCAGTCGTCACAGAATTTTGTTGTTGCAGACAAACACACTGTCAAATCAAGAAATAGGTTGGGGGTTAGGCAGTTCATGAAAGCTAGATGACACACTATGTGGGGAATAAATCTGTGGGTTGGTGCAGACAATCCTAATGGTTATATTGCGACTTTGAAATTTATACAGGAAGAAGTCCAGATATTCATCGCAACAGATTTGGGTATGACGTGGTGATTTGATATCAGTTTGGTTACAGTCTTAGGTCTTTTGTAGTACAATATAAAGGAAATATTTTCACCACATAATCCAATTATGTGCTTTAGCAAACAATTACTACCTTGGAAAACCTTACTTTTTTATAACTACTAATTATGATGATGCCAGCCCAACAACACTTGGTCATGCTATTTGCAAATATTTTCATGTTCTAGATTGTGAAAACAATCAATTTCTAAACAAATGAGTAGTGATTATTTCAAATTTGAATAGCATGACCAAATTTTGAGGCTGGTTATGACACTAATAACTAAAGTCAATGGTGTAATGATTATCTAAGAATGTACGTAGTTATTGTAGAAATAAAGACATTTTGCTAATCATGATTTGAGTGTTCTTTTGTGGGTATCACAGACTTATTTTGGTGCCATACTATCTTTGGAAAGTAAGAAATATTGGAAATTTGTATTGATAACATGTTGCAGCAATAAAAAAGGACCTTTGATAAAGGTATTTGTTTCATGTGAGCACAAAATGTAAATTTTACTCCACTACCTAGTTTATATAAAAATTCAATAAAAATATTTCTATTTATGCTACATGCATGCTTGTAGATCATAACCGTGTCTTTCAGTCATATTCATAAAATGTTTTGACATATTTGAAATTTGAACCGCTAAATACATTTATGCATAATTGCAACATTTTTTATATCATAATTTATGCAAATTTATGTGAGTAAATCGTTAACCAAGCTCCAGATGAGATATCGTTGGAAAGCAGAAGTCCTCCTCTTTCGAATGATGCAATATCTGTTTCCGTGCGATGTATAGTTTGAGAGATATAAGCGTTTGAAACAACACCGCTCGGAATTGCTACTTTTCCACCGGATGAGAATGAGTTAATGAACTTCTAGTCAGTCTCTTACTTTTTGTATCATATAATTATGTCCATGTGTTATGTAAATGTAGTAATATATAGCGTATCATGTAGCCAATTGTAAATTACCTTTAACAGTGAGATTTTCAATTGTAAGTGCATAAAAAAATCAATAAAGTTTTAATTATTATTATAATTATTATTAAGAAATCAGTAAATGCATCAATACCATGACAACAGTAATATACAATTACTTCAGTGAAAATTATGGGTTTGTGGATGTAAACAATAATAAAGTATTTGAGTCGAAATATAAATCAGCTTCAGCTAAAGATCTAAAAAATGCCTTACAGTAATTAAAGTCGGACAATGGCAATCTAATGGAAATCAAATTTGTTGCTAAAAAATTGTGTAATCGTCTACGTAGAGCTGACACTGACCAACAACATGCTGATATCAACGCGTCAGATGAAATTGATCACAATGAGTTAATCAATAAAAACTTTTGGGGGTTATGTTAACAACATTTTTGCGAAAAAGTCAGATTCACTACCAACATTTGATCTCGCACAATGCACAGCATATTTTACAAGAACATTTTCTGCAGTTATTCCAAATAAAATTTTCAACATTCCCAGTTGGATTCCTAAATTTAGTTCCCTGACAACACCATTTAATCTTGACCCCCCGACCTATAATGAGATTACAAATATCATTCGTAAGATGAAACTGTCTAGTTCTCTGTGTCCTCTTGACCAAATATCTGTGATATGTCTGAAATGCTGCCCATATTTGAGATATTTAACCGAAATTATCCAAGCTGCCTGGTCCTCTGGTTCTGTTCCATCAGAATGGAAAAAAGCGTGTACGATATTGATCCACAAAAAAGAAGATACTGACAATCCCACTAATTTCAGACCAATAACTCTACAATCTGTCCCACTCAAAGTATTTACATCATGTCTTCATAATAAAATATTCACTTTCCTAGCTGAAAACAATTACATAGAACATAACATCCAGAAAGGTTTTACTCCTAACATTGCAGGAACTATTGAACACACTGCTCATATGGCGCATATAATCAACACAGCCCGTATAAAACAAAGATCTGTTGTAATTACTTTGCTTGATCTTAAGAATGCTTTCGGTGAACTCCATCATAATCTCATTCACAAAGTCCTTCAGTATCATCACATCCCAGGTCAAATAAACAACCTAATACAAAGTCTTTATACAAACTTCCAAACATCCATTATAACAGAACAGTTCAGTACTCCTTTTATCACAATCGGACGTGGCGTTTTACAAAGTGACTGTCTCAGTCCTCTCTTATTCAATATGTCCTTTAACACATTTGTTCAGCACATAAAATCTGAGAAATACACCCAGCTTGGCTTTTGGAAATTGAATAAAACTGGTATTCCGTGCAACCCTATCCATTGGTTTCAATTCGCAGACGACGCGGCTGTCATCAGCAGCCAAGAAAATGAAAATCAAATTCTGCTCATTCGTTTCACAGTATGGTGTCAATGGGCCAATATGATATGTGTTGACAAGCACTCTTCATTTGGAATTAAAAAACACTTATCTAAGTCTATCCAGTACCAACCTAAGTTGTTTGTTAATAACCAACTTATACCCTGTATCGAACTTGGAGAATCTTTTCGCTATCTTGGTTGTTGTTTCGATTTCAACATGTCCGATGAAAGACACAAATCCGAATTGTGTGATCTGTTTACTGATATTATATCAAAAATTGATAAATTACCTTTACACCCCCCAAACAAAATTCTTCTATATAGTCGCTACTTACTCTCAAAAATCTCATGGAACTTAACAATAACCGATTAAAACCTGGATTTGCAAAACTTTAGATAATGTTGCTACTAAATATATTCGAAAATGGCTGGAACTTCCAATATCTGCAACTCTTAGCAATGTGTATCTTCCCCAAAACAAATTTGGTTTGAATATCATTTTGCCTTCGACGAAATTTATCCAATGACAAACTGTTTCTCGTTCAACTTTAAAAGTGTCTATAAACAAAGACATTAACCAATTATGGTCAATAACAAGCACGAACAAGAATATTCAGTATGATACATATAAAAATACGAAGGATGTCTTGAAAAGCCTTTAGGAATGAAAATGAACAGAGACTACAAAACCACCTTATCTCACAAGGTTCTTTCTTCTCAAGTATCATCAAAAACTCCATGTCATCATTCAATTCCTTATGGTCATCTGTTCAAATCCAGAGTTCCTAAGAATATATTTAACTTCCCTGTCCGTTATATCACCAACTCCCTCCCTACTCGGAAAACCTGGTCAAATGGGGTCTGTCATAGTCTGTCGATTGTTCCTTTTGCTCCTCTCCTGAGTCACTCCTGCACGTCATCTCTGGTTGTAATGCATATCTAGATAAAGGGCGATTTACGTGGCGGCATAATTCAGTGCTGAAATTCATTGCATCCAGCCTTACGAGTGCCGAGCGATCTAAACTCTACGTAGATTTGCCTGGCTTTATTACTCCATCAGTTATCACTGGTGATCAGTTACATCCAGACCTTCTCTTGGCAATTGAAAATAAAGTTTTATATGTTTTGGAACTGACTGTTGGCTTTGAATCAAATCTTAACTCTAACTCAGATCGAAAACAAAAAATACCTGCCGCTTATTTCAGATCAAGAAAGTAACTATGATAAGGTAAAATTTGTTAATGTATCCATAAGTTTGCTAGGCGTTTTTGGTCAATCGACGAACACCTTAACCGATATGCTCAAGGAACTGAAGTTCGATGAACAACAACTTAAATACATTAAAAAGAAAATCATTGCTATTATTATTTGCACATCATATTATGTATTCTGTCAGCGAAACAAAGACTGGCTTAGCCCAGAGCTTCTAAAATTTTGAACAATATTAAATTCCCTATTTTTGTAAGTTTATATAATCCAAATATTTTCAAGTAGTCATCGATAAGCTACCTTTATGAGCGAGGTTTATCAATGTAAATATAGTTTTATGGTATATTATGAAATAAATAAAGTTTCCATCATTATATATATGTACTATTACGCTCCTTCACTTCGGTGTTGTAGAGCACTCTGTGGAGTTAATTGGGTGTCCATTAGCAATAATGCAAAGCTCACTTCCCTCGTGGTTGTTTGAGCACTCTGGCCCCATGTCACTCTGCACATGTCTGGATGCATTGATGGCTCGTGTTGTACCACATGCGCTTGGGAGAGCAAGTGTCATGTATATCAATACGAAAGTCATTGCGTGTCTAGATGTGTACCAAGCTGCACTGGTGAGGCATAGGATGCCGAAACATGCATGTCTGCAGATTGTAATATATATATATATCTCTCGCTACACTGTGTTTCACGCTTCTTCCGAAGCGATCTTCAGGCAATTGAACTTCATTTCAATGGCGTGATCTAAACTAACAGTTTGCTGATGCACCTTGCATGCGTTCAAATTTACGCACACTAAAGCTATTTCTATGACAGCACTTCACGAATAGTTCTGAGCGCTTATTCAATATCATGCTTTTGTCAGCTTCCAGTAAGCAAACCTTCTCTTCAAGGCACAGATTGCATTTTGCTGCACCAGCCATATGCACACGGGCATGCTTTAGCATGCTCCACTTGATGTTGTATTGTTTCCTGCTTTTCTGAAGTTTCCACGCATACTTCAATAAGTCTATCTCCGCTGAATACCGAGGAATATTTAGAGATTTTTTATGATTGGTATACCTCTTCTTGAATGTCCCTGCTATCATTCCAATGTACTCCTTTGTTTCTTCGCAGTCACTTGTCGAGATTTCTGCTTTGTATACAATACTTGTTGATAAATATTTACTGTGTCAAGCGGACATTTGGCTTTACCATGACAGTTACATATTTATTTCCTTTCTGGCTCATTCTTTTGTCCAAGCAGGTGTCAATTGCGGTTGGAAATAATGCTCTTGATGTTGCTCATGCACAAGTAGCTCGCTTTCATGCGGTTTCGATTGAAGATCTTGTAGAAGGGAGATGATCTCGGGAAATGCTTGTAAATTAGTTGAAGAAGTTACATGCAATGTTCGTTTTAACATTCTTGCTGAATGGGGGGTTGAACCCATATGATTTTTCTTTTCTGCCTTCTTGTCTTTGATGATGGGGTACGTCACAGCTTTCATCAGCCAATATATATATATATATATGTATAAACTAATTCATTGCCAGTGACAGTGGGTAAAACTAAACTTTCAAAAGATTATACAACACAACAGCAGCCTAATTCATATTATAGAATATATGTTTTACAATTGGTGGCTGAATATTGCATTCCTTTGACATCAGTGATATTGAGTTATGCTGTGTTATATGTTTATATGTAGACGTTTTCCTTCTGTTATTTGTTTTTGTGTATAAATTATAATTGTATGTTCAACTGAGAAAAGAAAATCAGACAAATTATACATTGTCCATGCATGGTTTGCCTGTGTCTTAATCGGGCACTGATCCAGACTGATGCAACTGCATCAGTCAAAATTTTCACACAAATGAGAATTGTCAACATTTTATTAAAATATGTTTAAATATTGGTTGTCTTTGATCCAAATTCCTTTAAAACAATATATTTTCACAGGAATGAATGTAAACAAAGCTATATTTTGCAAAATATTATGAAAAACATAAATGCATATAAAATTTTGAACTTCTCAAGTTGTACGGTTTCGTGTTGTGATTTTATTTTGCCACATATGTCGGTGTTTAGTTTGATGCATCCACTCTTATTACAGCTCGGTGTATGCATCACTACGTCACGTTGGCACCGGCGGTGCATCACTATGTCATGTAGGGGAGAAAAGTGCATCAGTGGCGCATCAGTCCCGAGTCTTTTGGCCGAGTTTCCCCAACGACACGTCACAAAAACCATTGTTTTCATGCCTACGTAACGTTGGGAAATGGATGCTGACTGATGCGTTTAGCCTGTGATCAAAATAATGCGCTTTTGACTGATGTATTTCGCCCGCAATCAGAACAGTCAGTGATAAATTTTATGGTCAAATTATAATGGCGGGAGTAAAGGAACATTGTATCTCGCATTGTATGGAAATATTTTACGATCTTTGGTGGTTGTTTGGACATACAAAGACTCAAACTCACTGAGCCTCAAAGCCGTCGAAATTAAAAGGTTTGTCAGCTATTACAGTAATTTCACAAGGGAATGTTTGGGATTTGTGTACTGTGTTAGATGTGGATTTAAATGAGCGAGTCTGTGTGTAGATATTTATAATAAATACTGTACGTATAGGTATATTTGTCACAGTATAAGTATCACAATTTTACAAAATGTATTATATTTGAACTGTTTATATGTCAACATGGATCAATCCCTGTTATGGCTGTTTGCATAACACTCAATATGCCATTATATAGTGTGTGTGGGGGGGCGGAGCTTGTGTCTTAATTTGTTTGAAAATGCAAATTGAATCTAGATGCTTAATAATATTTTGCAGTTCTCTCTGAGATTCGTACAGTCTAAGGCACTCTGTCTAGGATCCTGCAACCCTTACTAGCAGCTATATTCCTGGCACCTGTCGGTTACTTGTTAGGTGCTATTTCCCCAAAACACTGATATCTGTATGATTACACACCATGCCTTGGTTGATGTTCACATCTGACATCAATACCTAATTAGATCCCACCCACATCCAAATCCATCCCTGTATGTGCATCATTTTGGAATTGGGAAGCTCTTGCAGCTGCAAAACAATATTTTAAAGGCAATGTTTGGTGATAGTGAGATTAGTTCAGTTATATATTATCTCTATTGTTCCAGAATGATCACCTAGTATCAGAAGCCATCAATCACACCACATGGCATTACGTGTATCAGGGCTGCCCCTGGTAGGGGAGAAGGAACTGGGTGTGACCGGCAAATTATTGTGATGCTGAAAATAAAGGGATTCACATGTTTAGGAAGGGAATAAATTTAGCTGGGCTCTCTCAAGTTTGGCCCCTTAAATTTGTGATGCTTTTTCTGGCATTCAATACATTAATGTTTAAATTGATAAATCATCTCACTTTCATTGACAAGTCAATGTACTAAGTGAGTTGATCACAATATACTGCACTGCCACTGTTATTGAAACTTTGTCAGTCCTGCTCATGCAATCAGATACCAAGTCCATAACTGCACTACTCTCTGTCTATCCTTAATAACTTTAAATAGCAGCTTTGGATACATACAGTAGTCATAGACACTCTCCTGAATGTATGATTTGGGATTCAATGCAAAATCTGTGGAGATATGTTGGTCAATGTATTGTAGATATCCAGACTTCAAATAGAACAATCTATTTTCTGCAAATAGTTTCAAGAATTGTTTATTTTTATTATTAACTGCTCAGCAACAATGAAAACTAGTACCTAACGCCCTTGAATACCAAAATAAAATTACTGTATTTAAAAATTCAAACTGCATTTGTCAAAATGATTGGATATAAATACATCCCATAAATATTAGAGTGACTATCTCCAGAGAGGGCCTTCATATACATTATACAGTAACTCAAAGTTGCCCTGGAATTAATCCTGGATTATTAAAATAATTTAACTGGAATTTATGTCATGGTGGTGCTGCTGGAAGACATTTGACCTGGAACATTGTTATATTGATTGGTGTCAACTGGTTACAGGAACTGATAAGTTACAGGAAGTTATATCATTGGCAATGAATATAATAGTTTGCTTGAAGTATTCCTAAGAAACACAATGATCAGCTTTTCATATAATTTGCACCATATTTTGCACAGAAAAAATGTCTGTGGTTTTGCTTTCAATTATTCTATCAGTTTTGGAAGTACAGTATGTTGTGTACATGTAAGTAGTGTACATTTGTATGTAAAATGGTAAATTATAGCTACAACTTTGCTACTCTATAATCCTCACTCAAATAGGATCAAATAAATAAGGCTAGTCAAGTTTCGATCTGATAAAACTCCACGTAAAAATGTTTTCAACTTATGTTAAAACTCACATGATTATGTTGTTCTCACGCTATAAGGCCGTTTTTTACGTTTTAACCCCCGAAAATCCAGCAAATTACGTTTCGATTTTGATGTATCAACTTTAAAGAAAAGCTCCCTCAGAACACAGGAAATCGCATTTCCGAGGTCCTAGATTTCAAAATTCCGCTGGGGAGGATTCCCCCTGACCCCCCTACAAGTGCGAGGTTTAGTGCATCAGTCAACAAAACCACTGGATCCACCCCTGGTCTTAATTGTCTCATGACTTCATACTCTTGACTCTAGTATCATACTCTGGACTCGGCCAGTTTACCTTTTAGTGTTAGTATATGGCAAAACATTTCCAGATGAATTTCTCATTACATTGACAAGATATATTGCCTGGTATGTACTGACCAGCTTATATATAAGGCTCCTTGCCATGAAAAACTTGTAAAGTTTTTGTCATATACACGAGCAAGTAAAACTTGTCAAGGAAAAAGTGACGAAGGAATCTTGTTCACCTGTATGGAATATGCACGCTACACTTACAATACACTAAACCACACGTGGTCTGGCTGGGATTTAAGAAATGGCCAGAAACAATACTGAGACAGAATAATTATATATCTGTTGACAGGGGTAAGGCATTTGACTCTGTTTAATATCTACATACATTCATGCTAATGCAGCACTGATATTATATAATGTTTAACCAAGCATAACAAATTGCTTCCTGAAGTATGCATTTTTTATTAATAACTTGTTAATAATCGAATTTCAAACAGAGTACCTACTATGAGTAATGAAACTAATAACCAATTGATGACAGTTTTTCCAATTATATTTAATGAGATAATGCACTCTGATTTCCGAACTTTTCCAGATTCAATCTGCAAAAGTTGCATTTTGTAGGCTGTGCAGGTCTATTATATTATATTATAGTTGCATTTTGTAGGCTGTGCGGGTCTAAGTATCGTCTATTTATGATGTTGAATTATCACACTTTTTGTTGTATTTGAAATCTTTGTGTAGAAAGATTCTCAAAATATGACGAGAACATGAAGTGCTTAAGTTAAATACTGGACAGCCTTTCTCACAGGTATTGATTGTCAAATGAATTATAATGCTAATATAAAAAGCAACCTAAAAATTGTTAACTGTGGATTTATAGGCATACAGTAAATGGTTGCACTTTTGAAAGCACATACTATGCATGCCAATGCAATTATTTTTCACAATACCACCTAATTAGTACACCTGCTTACTACAGTATAATAATATGCTGCATAAGTTCTGCCATTCGAAGCTGTTAAAGTTTATTCACTAATATTACCCGACCATCTTCTGTAGCTGAATTATCTTCTGGAAGTTTAAGGAAAGGACCCAATGGCCCTGCCCCGCCCTCAAAATAATTTTAGATGTTATACGGGTCATTATAACAAGAAGAATCTTAAATTCACCAATCACGATGGATTTTTTGCACATTTAATATCATGTTGCTTTGTTCAAACAAACTTTAGGGTTTTGTTGTTGCAAAAGAATACTGTACTCATCAGTTTTGAAAGTGTGTTTGTTGGGAAATGCACCAGTCATGTTGGTCTGGTAAACAGCAAAATTTGCCGATCAAACTGTAAAATTTACTGGTCAATGACCGGTGACTGGCACTTATTTCAAGGTCTGGCCCTGTCATCACTCAGCCACTTTGTTGGGTATTTACATAGCCCCATAGGAGTTTTATGGAGACCCCACTTCCTCCTTCCATATTGTGCGATACAGCTGGAAATTTCCACCAACTGCTTTTAATCTGGGAAAAACCTCAAGCTCTGCTTTGATGTATGTATGATTGCCATCTTTATCTAAAGAGTGGCGCTTTTTTCCGAGGCTGTTACATGATAGTGCATACTGTTCTTTTGTGCTTGGTAACACTTCACTATTCTGGTCTAAGCAGCAAAAAGTTGCAGTATATGTGTTCTTTATATAGAATGGTGCGGATGTTGCAGTGACAGTTTTTCTTCTCTTAGGACCTTGTGATGGTCTGGACAATGCATGCCTATAAAATTATTAAGGTTTTTGCATTCTAAGTACAGTATATGTTCTATTTCAACTGACAAGATCGACTTTGCAGTATAATGGCAATTGAGAATGAGGTTTTGCAGCCACTAATTATCTGTTGATGGGTAATAATCACTAACTTAAAGATTGAAAATGTAAACACATAAGTTGTCAAGTGGTAATTGTTCCAAATTGAATATTCTACTTAAAGACGCTGTCAAGTCTGTTCTGCTCATGCAAGTGTTTTGTCTACATTTCTTGTTACAAACAATAGATAATTTAATTAAAATTCTGATCTGTGGGTCAAACAATAGATAATTTAATTAAAATTCCTTTTAATTAAATTATCTATTGTTTGAAACAAAAGTATAAACAAAACATGCGCATGAGCAGAACGGACTTGACAGCCTCTTAGGGTAGCTACATACAGTTTCTTTATAAAATGGAAAATTCACAATTTAGATACGTGTTTGGATTATTGTTACTTAATGAAAAGTAATATCTTACGGATTTAAAACAACATTTTTCAGAAGTTACAACAAATGTTGTTGCTATAGCAACAATGACGTTTCAAGGTGGCAGATATTCTGGCTTTGACCCATTGAGTGTCAGCACTCTCCACTTGACAGGTAAAATTATCTGGTGTTAGAAAGAGTAAATGGGTAGTGAAATTGTATAATGCTAAAGCTGTTGCATCAATCACTGGGGTAATGCAAACCACAGTAGGAAACCACTGCAGAAATCAAGTACAAATGCATGCAGTTGCAAGTAATGTAACAAAGGAATTCAAGTCCCTCTTGCCTCGTGAATTTGGAGAGTGTTTCAAGTATAACCCTTGCTACTACACAACAATCAATGGTCAACCAGCAACAATTGAGGAGTTTGTTCCCGGATCATTTGTGAAGTTAATCCACAACAATGGCACTATTATCCCAGTTCCAGATGATGATGATAATTTCACAGAGTTGCTCCAAAAGGCCAGTTATTGAGGCGTCACAATTTGTGTTCATAACCACAGAAATAACCACGGCCGAGTCAGTATTCTTGGAGTCTGGTAACGAGACATCCAAATACCGAAAACAACATGGCTGGCAAAAACTCAATGTGTAAACATTGACAACATTACAGTAAAGGTTTTTGGAGAAAAAAAAGGGAGATACGATTTGGATAATTTGCCAAAGTTGAAGTACAAGAAGAAAGATGAACACAGGCAGAAAAGAAGATCGAAAGTAACTGGCGCTTCCTTTTCTGCTGAAGTAGACTAACCAGACGTTCATGATGACACTTCCATCGATTTGGATCAAAATATTGGTGACTATGAAACTACCAAGATTTTACCTTTCAAACTTCTTCGTTGTCACCACAACGAACTTTGTAAAATTCTTCGTTCTCAACGAAGGCTGTGCAACGAAGACGTCGAAAAGCAACCGCTGGCACCAACCGCAGTATGCGCGGAATAATGCGCAGACGTCGAAAACTTGTCAAGTACGTTTTCGTCTTCGTACTTCGTTGTCTTGCTCAAACTCTCTATTTTTACCTCTGGTACACACACTTCAAAAATATACTGCTCACGCTCTTCCAGCATGGTAATTTCGTCCATGAGCAGTCTGTTATCGTTCTCTACACTCGATTTTACATACTTCTTTATGTAATCTTTCTATAAAGAGTTCAAATCGAACATTAGAGCGCTTAAAATATTTATTTGAAAAACTAAACAAAGAATATATGTACAATATACGAAATAAGAACATATATATTATAGTACTATATATATAGCACTATACATCTATATATAAAAGTAGCTTTTCCCACAACTTGTTTTTTTTCTTCCTGTTTTTCTTAATTTCTAACGTAAAATACATTTAAATCATTCGAATGGCACTCAATTGTGATTGAAATTATGTGGATATTATAGTCTATCAGAATATCATCTATCAGAATATTCCACAACAAGCAGCAGGAAGGATATTTTGATAGAATATTAACGTATACCGAGTTTACTGTAAACAAAATAAAATACCAAACAAGTTCACATATTTATAAATACTTACTGTAGTGACATCTCTGAATACACCTGAACCAGTATTTTTTTTTAATAGATTTTTTCCATCCTGATTGCCAGATAAACTTTCCAGGAAGAAAGTCACTCTCCTGCTCTTCACCTCTTTGTTAGCGAGACTACCTAAAAACAACTAAAGAATATTTGTCAAAAAAAGTAATGGACAGAAGCATTCATGAGGAACGGGTGTCTCCAAAATTAATAAACAAATAAACCATTTAAGCAAATTCAATTCTTACTTTCAATTCGGCATTAGGGGATCTAACAAAGAATCGTCGTAGTTTGACTGGATCATCACAATCCTCACCGCTGAAAGTTATGAAGATGAAACAAAAAATTTAGGGAAAAAGAAAGCAGTTGAAAATTTTGTTTGTTTACTTTGCAAGTGGTAACGAGTTAATTCATCAATTTTGTAAAAATTAACATGGATATAATTTTGTATTTCTGCAGGAACTTGAGTTTCTTTTGTCAGCGGAGAAAATTGACAGACAAAAAAGAGATTGGAAGGGTACGTATAACAAGTTTAATATCGACTTGTAGTTACAGGCGACTGGGTAGTTGAAAAATGTACGCATGTATGTATCACAATACCAAATGCATTCAGGTTGTTTCAGAGAACCGCAGAACCAACGCGATGGCAAACTCCTCCCCTTTGTGTAGCATACACAACTTTCGTGATACCACAACAAGCACTGTTCACATAAAATCCACTTCTCACGGCCAGCACTGTCGAGGTTATGCACAAACTGGCATTTTGATGAGCACGCACAAACAGTGTCGAAATTCTCGGAAAAGGTATTGAAATCTGTAAAGTATAATGAAAATATATTATCTTAGTCTCATTAAAACTTAATGAATTCAAACGTTAGTAACTGACCATTTTCTGGTAACTGGATCAAATTAGAATAATAAATTTTCAACACGCCTTTTTGTTTTAAGCTATATGAATTTGAAGTTACCCATATCATACATTGTCAGGTGATGAGAAATCCCATACAATGCATGACTCAAGCTCCATTATTACATGAAAAAAATCTATGAACAAATCGAATATATAAAAATTTCTTACGCTCGTCAGTATCATATCTCAACAATGGAACAATATGATTTATTATGCCACCAGATACATGACACCAAAGCAGATGAAGGGGAATCCTTTGAACCATTTGGGGGACAAATTTCTGTGTTGTGTACAGTTCGTAACCAGGTGCGGAGCAATGTTGATATATATTAGTTTTTAGCAAGCCAGCCAAAAGCACGATTTGGAGATAACCTGTTATTATTATGATGAAAAAACATAGTACTATTATCTGATCATGCTGTGCTGAGTGGTTATACTGTATTACTACCTTAAAAAATAAGCAGAAACTCAACGTTTCGAGCGAAGGCCCTTCGTTGGCTACTAATTCCTTGACGAAGGGCCTTCACTCGAAACGTTGAGTTTCTGCTTATTTTTTAAGGTAGTAATATAACCACTCAGCACAGCATTTTCACATTGGTACTACCAACACTGGTACAGACAGTTTAAGTACTATTATCTGATCCATCATCCTCAGTATTGTTCCGGGAATGATACAAACAAACTCGGGTTCTAAATTACAGCACAAATTGATCACAGAATCTTCTGTTACTGTTACATACCAGAGTAACGACCATCTACTGAGGTTTTCATTACCTCACGCTGGTAAACATAACTGACTTTTTCTTTCATAGTCTTTTTTTCACTAACGCTGCCATATATATCATCATCAGTTATTAGGGCGAGCAAACCATCAACGCGATCTGCATCGGCGAGGAACTGAGGAAAAAATTATATCATTTTTTAAAGTTATATATAGTTTTGCAGTAATATACATTACACTTTTCTTACCCAGCCTCTGTTGGTATAGGAAAGATGCACAGTATAGCACAGCTGGAAGCTGCTATAATCTACAGTATTTATAAAATTTTAAAGCACCTGCTTGATGTATAAGTGTTCATTTAAACAGCCATGTACAATACACCAAAGCTTTAGCCATTGATGTAGGCATTCAGACTGGTCATCAGTTATGGCCACTGACATGGACCGAAACAGGCAATTCCCATCTCCACGAAACTTTAATGGTTCCCAACCTGAGCGGAGCATATCATCTGGGGTTTGGGATCTAACACTGTGTATATGAAAAATATTGCAGTGATTTTACACAAAACTAGACAGAAACACAGACATGAAATACAAATTTACATGAAAAATCACAAAGACATAACATCTAACATCCCCACTGTAGGTCTGTTTCTACCATTACTGGGATCACAAAACAACAAACCAGATGGCCACCATTCTGGTCTGTGTTCCTCATCACCCCAATGAGGTTGTTTGGTTCCTTATTAAAAATAACACAAATAGATGTTTGTTAATCTGGCAGCCACCTTATGATTACATTCGGATGAATAAAATGTAGTGGCAACCTTTTGAGGTAAAAGCTACTCTAGCTGACTAGTTTATATCATTTTGTTAACCAAACTGCTATTGTGTTTATATATACTTTGAATATATATGTACATTCAAGCATTTTGGTCATTGCACTGGGGATTAATTATCCATTACCATTATTTGTAACTAGAGCGATAACTAGCTTCCTCTTTCCATGTGCATTCAATTTTTTCCAGTCTTCTGGAATTTTGACTGCCACATTCAAATCTTCAACATTTTCTATAATTATAAATTTAATAATACCATAACTTAATTATATAATTGCAAAGCATTACACTTCAATACACAAGTGAGGGATTGTATTCTGTACAGTTCACAAATCATGATGACATTGTGCACATATTTTTAGCACACTCTTCATTTACAAAAATTTGATAACTTTGTTGTCGAAATATTAAAGCACACAGATAACAGAAAGAGAAATAAGTACTAGTGTTTAAAGAGTAGGTAATTTACATGCACTCTGTAGCAACATTTACACAACATTTATTTCATGAATGGTACTGTACTGATACCTGTTACCAAACTGTTTGGTCCAACAGAATGTGAAGCAAATATGGCAGATACAAATGCTTTTTTGACATCAGATCTTTCAGCAAATCCCCTTAATGAAATAAGTTAACTATGCATTACTATTGGGAGCAGACAAGTCCTTTGCATAGTTTATACTTAAGAAAATATAAAACATTTCCGTGTTGATATACAGTTATATCGACACAAGTAGAAATTGGAAAAACGAAAAAATATCAACATGAAGATTGTTTTATATTTCTTTTATAATATAGCACAACAAATATGAAGGACAAAACTAATTAAAAAACTTTTATAAAAGTGGAGGAAAATTTTCTGTGTTGACATTGAGTTATATCAACACAGCTCTTAGCCAATCAGCGTTCAGAATTCACAAATGCTGTATTATAATGTACGATAGCAGGCGAGTACCCATTTTAGTAACTGAATCAGATTAATTGCAGAAGAGTACTGATTTAATGATCGATTCATATTCTTAAATAACAATACTGGATTACAATTTCAACTTTTTACCTATTTAAACTTTCTTTACCACTTCTTTGCTACATTGCCTACATAATTATGTTCTACCTGAATAATATATTTGTCCATTTATCCATGTCAAAGCCACTGTTGGACAGTTTGTAAATTCATACCAATCTTGAATCTTAAAAATTTTAATGACATTGCAATTTAATAAATACCTCTTCTATATCTTTATAAATATTCTGTAATATATAGTCAAATATCAATGAACAACATTAATATTGTTATAGTGCCTTTTTAGGAAAATAAGAATAATTTCTTACCTTTTCTTAAGGTTTTCAGCGTTACGACGGTCATATCTTCGCCTGTAACCTGGGTCCTTAGCTTTTAATTTATCTTTGTACCGTCTTTTTGATGGTACCTATTTAATATTCCGATACAAACCGGATTCAGTCCCAGAAAAAAAAACCCCAAAATTATTAAAGTAAAATAATGACAAAGTGTATATATTAAGTATTGACTTCACCCTGTATATTTTTACTTGTACAATTTGCATACTTCGTCCATTTCTGTGTTAATTTGCATATCCATAGGCATATCAGAGTTACTGAGATCACACTCCATATTGTCAGCCATAACTCTTTATGAGCCCACACGCATTGCTGCTTGCGTTCATCTTCTGAGAGCCGTGGTTACTTTTGTGGTTATGAGCACATTTTTTTATAGTATAATACCTCAAAAGGCTGAATGTTAGGTGCATCAGTTACCAATCCTCCAACACAAACTTCATGTTGTTGGATATTCGAGGAATGGGGTACAAACTTTTTGACCCTGAAATTGCAACAAAGAAGTCTTAGATGCAGAAAATAATGAAGTATACTTTTGTTGTGGCAATTGTTCGTCTGTTGGAATAGATGCCTTTCTTGCAACACATAAATGCAACAAATTCTGTGAAATGATGAAACTTGCAGAGAACAAAATGTTTAGAGGTGGACTAGAACTTGAACTTGCAACCTTAATAGACCATGTTTTGATAGTTGATACTCATACATAGACAGCATTTTGCACTTAAATTCATCTTGTTTTGTTTACTGTTAGCCATAATTTACCAAACATTTTTCTTGTTAATAGGATTGTATAGCTAATATAGCTAAAATTTGGTATAAGAGATCCATACAGTTCCAGCTCTCTGCACTTGACAAGTACAATTGTCTGGCATAAAATAAGTAAAATAAAAGTGGGGAACAGGTGGGAAATTTGTCCGAGCATGCGCGAGCAAAGTGAGCAACACAATTGCATGGAATACACGCAACGCGTGTTTACAAAAAGGCACAATCGTGTAAATATTGCCAAATGTTTGTACAAAATAAATGACTGTTTTATGTTGAAAATGGACATGATCTAAATTAATCATACAGAATTTTTTAGTGACGTTCTATTTCAGTACCCTGCCATTGTCTCTGGTGAGCTGTCCGTGTGCATTCGATCTGAAACAGTTGCTACTTTGCTGTCGAAAAATTTGGAATGTTTACATGAAAATAGAGGCAAGTCATGCATTTTACAACCTCGTAAACTGTATGAGCCCCTATTTTTACGCTTATACCTAAGATATCAAATAAAAATACATGAAACAGCGAACATTTTTAGAATGTTTTATCGTGAGGCCACGGCCAGTTTTAAAATATCTTTATTTCTGTTCCGGTCATCACCAAAATTACACTAAAGCCGGGCTTGAATATACAACAAATTTTGAATCTCATCAAGTACAAAAATATTTAACGTGTAACCAAAATATGCTCATGAAATCGAAATTAATATAGCTAAATTTTCAAACTAGACCCTTCTCGAAGCGGTTTTCATGAAGGAAGTTCAAATTTCGGCCTTTGATTCCTGGCAAAAATTTGACCACAACACGTGCGAAGCAACTGGGTCTCAAAGACTCAGCTAAAATATTGTGAGCCCCTATTTTCCTGACGATATGTTTGATACCTACAAACACCTAAAAGTTTTTTCTTTTCATTTACCTATATTTGAGGCCACAGGCTATTTTTGAGAAAATACAGTTCAAAGTCAAGCTATTTTTACATATTTTCAAAATTTGTCAAATTTCGCGAGCTTGTATTTTTAACTTAGACAGCTGAAGTTACATTAGGAAACATAGGATGGAATATTTGAGGCATATAAAGTTAATTTCAACTCACATTTCATTCTCATATCACGTCTTTCTTCGTTTATTACGGTTTTAAACAAGCCACAGATCGACGTATAAGGTATTTACTCCCATGTTCACGTCGCCATATTAACTTCTTCCAATCACTCGATTACAAAACAAATCACCCAAAACCAAAGAACTCATAGTCGACTTTTAAAAGAATAACTGTTAATTTGTAAATCGTTGAATGGAAAGCAAAAAATCATGAGCTAAAACAGCTTCTTGCTAACTTTCTGCTTTGTTTTGAATGTAAATGCATGAACTTTGTTTCTGCCCGCGATTTTTTGGTCAGCGACGACAAATTTCCCACCTGTTAAAGTGGGGTGCATTAGGGTGCAACGCAACATAATGGGTTAAAAATTTATAGAATACCATAGAATCATGTTTGACAAGTATTATCCACTGCTGACAGCTGTTATCGTTTTGAGCTACTTGGGGAGATAATTTTAGATTGGAAATTGGAGATTTTCAACCCATAATCTCATTAAGCTATATTGCACCTATTATTTTACTTGTCAAGGGGAGAGCACTGCTGCTGAATAGGTTAAACATTGCAATTTGTTATTACTTTTGCAGGACTGTGCTACTTTTGGGATTCTAAAAACACACACTCAGTTAGGCTAACCTACAGTAAATATATACGTACAGTGTCTACTTATTATTCGAACGGTGGCTGAATATATGGGTAGTGGGCCTTGAGAAAAAGAAATGTATCTGCTCCCTCAGCTGGTTTAACATCCTCAATATGTGGAATGACTCTTTCACATTCAGCTCTCACATTTTCTGGCAATTAGTCATCACCAGATGCCATTACACCTGAATTTTCTACAACTTCATTAAGTATCTCATTGCTGACAGGTATACCTATATCAATATTTAAAAATAGTTACTACAAATTTTGCAAAGTAAAATATTGTTATACATTTGTTGAAGAAATAACATAGAACGTTTTAATCTTCCAGTTCAGTATACATACCACATATTTCTGACCCATACTGTTCAGGAAATTAATAGAGATGGCTTGGAATTCCTTTTGGCATCTGAGCATCCTTCTGACTCCTAACTCGATGGGATTCCATACTGTTTCCCGGAAAATTTCCAACTCCTTTTGAATTATAGGAATGAAGACGAATGCCAGGAGGTGTCTGTTAAGACAATTTCTTGGTGGTGAGTTCTACATGTACACTATAGATTCATAAAGTTACTATGTTAGCACCGAACAGTCAGATCGGTCAGTAGATGGCCAATATTGGTGTATTGCTTAGAGAATGGCTTCTATATTGGACACTACATATAATCTATAACCTTTGGTTTGGCACAATTGTTATTTCCATTTACCAGTCAGTTTCTATGTCAAGGTCATAATGACCTTGCTCTAACAGCATCATCAGTTGTCTAAAATTTCTCCAACCGTTTGTGCAGCTCTCGCCACCATCTTTCAATCTAATTTTGATGAGGTTGCCTGCCATTGAGGTTGATGAGGTTGCTTGCCATCAACATTTTGCACAGCAAGGCAGACAGTGGCTGGAAGACAGGATGGCACGACTCCAGCAACAAATCGTTCAAGTAGATGAGGAAACACCTGCCCTGATCATCGATACCTACGACGTCGACCAGTATGGCATCTGCTCGCAGATGTACACGGTGTGCATGTGGGCCAGACCATGCATATATTGCCCTGTTGGACGTTAGCAGAAGAGTGCGTAGCATCTGGGTGGGCCTACACCACGCCTCTTCACATCCTGACCGATCGCGTTGGGCTGGAGTTCGAGGAGGCGAATAGGAGCAGAATTGGTGCTTGGGGACTCGAAATGGAAGAAACGACCATTCCGGAAACATACAGTAATACAATAACAACACAAGACCAACTTAAGAACACAACTGTATTACTTATTACATGATGCAATTTTTCGATTTTCAACGACCAGTTCAATGTGCGCTATAACATTTATCACTTATTTGCCAGTTCAATGTGCGCTATAACATTTATCACTTATTTGGTGAGACCGAGTGAAACAGTGTGTTTTGTGGACCCGAGACCGTCGATGAAACATCGACGGTCGAGGGTCCACAAAACACACTGCTTTCCCGAGGTCTCAGTAAATAAGTGTTTTATTATGTATCAATAGTCAAAGAAACGACAAATTAAAGAACAAATGAATGTAAATACATGAAATATTTTATTGTTAAAGTGAAAGTTTTAATTACGTACTAGGCATGTCCAAAGGTTGCATCTTCACGTGATGGTGCACGTGATTTTTTTTTGTTATTCGCCGGTCGATAACTTATTATCTCCCTCTCGTGCTGTTGCGAGGGAGACAGCCTAATTTCGTCACTCTCACGTGATATGCTCTCAACCAATAAAACACTAGAAAAATGCGACTTTGACTATTGATATATAATAATTTGGGTTATTTCACCCTTTGGTGAAGGTGAAATTCATGGATTTTTCCGGGACTTTCAGCGCCCTTTTTCGGTAAGTTCGGGGACCTGGGACTGGGGAGGGTCTTTGGGAATGGCACGGGTTTGCCGTAAATAGTTCGCTTCATACGGTAATTTTAATTTGAGTCACTGGTGTTGACACACCTGGATTTCAGTGGAAATTAGTTCAGGGACTTTTAAGGACTTCTACTGGTTTTCAAGGACTTTCCAGTCCTGGAATTTTGGTTTTCTAATTCGGGGACTTTCCCGGATTTTCATATATCTTGTAGGATATCCTTTCATTGGCTGTTTCATTAGTGTTCAGAAACGTAATAGTCATGCCGTGTTGTCAGATCGCGTCCGGTGGGTTTCGACCTTAAGAACCTAAACTGAAAATTTTAAGAAATTCAACGTTTTGAGCGAATTGCCCCTTTGTTGGGAAGTTAGTCGCGGGGGTCGGGAAAATTACACAAACTTTTATACTAAAAATATGAAAGCGATCACGTGACAAAAAATAAGCCACAATCAGGTGGATTATTTTCAGATAACTATACACCAACTGCTGTCTACAACTGCATGGTAGAACGTTTCTCTTCCTTCTACTTTACACAATTCCATTAAAAGAACCTCGTTTCCTTGAATTTTTACAACTCTTCCTACGAAGACCACTGCATCCTCTGCGCACGTCGAGACACTGTCTACAAGACCAACCATATCGCCCACACATATTTGACAAGGTTGAGGTTCTACAACCTTACATTGCCACGACGATTCTGCACAAGATTCCACCTGAGGCTTCTTGGAAGGGGTGGCCTTCTGCTACACGTTTGTTAACCAAATCGAGACTTAAGAATGGCCGGTCTTGCTGTGAAATATCGCAGTAAGTCGTTTGTTGGTGTTTCAAAGAATGACACATTAACACTGCCAAGCTTTCATGCAGTCGGAGACTTTCTGCCTCTGGTAATGACAACACATGCGTCACCAAGGCATGACCTGCACGAAT